AGGATGGCCATGCTGCAGTCCCTTCTCTTCCAGTTTCCTCTTGGGCTTTTGGGCACGCATGCACACATGCCTGGCACGAGTTTTAAGTCGCCGGGTCTGAAACTCAAACGTGGTCGACTCCATGGGAGTCCAGCAACATAACCATTATGCCATTTGCTGGTCTCAGGCTTCTTATCTTTCTCAAATGGGCCTCAACTGTCACTAAGCACTCAATGTAGTGGACTGGGAGTGTGGGAGGCCTGCACCCAGCAGGTCCCTGTGGGCACAGGGAGCCCACTCCTCGCCTGGCCCAGTTTCTCTCTGGAGAAAAACAGGGTGGAGCACAAAGGTGCTTGGAGCTCCGTGGATCAGGGACACACCAGGCACACTCGAACCCGGATGTACCTGAACTCCTTCTGGCTGGCTGCGAATGTCCGTGGTAGTGGTGGGAGGTGCTGAGAGAGGTCCCTTCGCCTCTCCTCTGCCTCCGCGGCTCCCTTTTCTAGCTGAAATCCTCGAAATCCTGGGCCTCTCCACAGATTTCTTTTCTCTCCCTTGCGTCTGGGCGACAGGGCCTCACCTTACAGGCCTGTTGTAATCTGGTCCTGGCCTCACTCTCGTGTGTGTAAGTCGAGAGGCACTGCAAGAGCGGAAGCCCAGATAAGGGCGAGATAACCGGCCTCTTACTGGTCTTTATGACTCTTTCATTATCTGGAACCCTTGGGGAGGCCCTGCCTGCGTGTTTGCTCACGGAGGGCATTAGACTTCCCAGCACAGAAGCAGCTGGGAGAGGCGGCTCGGGGTGGGTGCAGGTGAAGTCCCTGGCCTTGGCAGGAAGGAGGAAGGGGCGGGGAGTGATGTGCACCCCCAGGTTCGCTTCTTTGCCTTCCCCTCCCTGCATGCTTACCTTGAGCTTTTGTTTTTTATTATTTTTATTTTATAAGGTTTTTGTCATAGGGCGTGCGCATTTGCTGGAAATGTGTGTGCTTGCTGGAAGGAGACAGAGAGAGGAAGTGAGCAATTACCCCTCAGGAGGGATGGCCACGTGCAGTCCCTTCTTCGTTCTCCTTTTGAGATTTTGGACATGCACGCGCACACACCCGGTGTGATTTTCAAGCTGTTGGCTCCAGGACTTGAACTGTGTCAGTCATATGGGAGTCCAGTGCCTTAACCACCATGCCACCAGCTGGCCCAAGGTGAACCTCTGAACCCCCCTCCAGCACCTACCTTGCTTTTCTGTCTTCCCTTGCCTACGAAGCCCTTACCCCTCTCTCTGCTGGGAGAACCTGCTGCAGCCTGGGGGCAGCAGCGCCGCCCACAGCAGGCTCTGCAGGCAGATGAGTGGTTTGCTGCCACTATGTGACTTGCTGGGCAGCAGAGCTGGGTATGAAGGACACCAGGGACATGCCTGGCTGGCATTGAGGGCAATATGGTGGCAGCCTCTCTGCCTATTGTGTGCTCACGAAGCAGCTCCAGATCCCTTTTAAAGGGGCCGGCCTCACCCCATAGCACCCATCCCCACCTCGATGTCACCTTTAGAGTGTACATAGGGCCCTCCCTTGGTGAAGCCACCGCGGCCTTGGAGCTGGCTGGTCCAGTTGCTCTGGATCAGTATCTTAGTCCCTCCATGTGGCCGGAACAAAATACCGTAACCTGGTGCTTAAAACAATGTTCATTCCTCACGGTTCTCAAGGTTGGCAAGTCTCTGGTCTATGTGCCAGCAGATTCGGTGTCTGGTGAGGACCCAGTTCCTGGATCACAGACGGCACCTTCTTGCTGTGTCCTCTCTGGTGAGAGGCACAAGGGCTCCCTCCAAGGCTTCTTTTATAAGGACACTAATTGCATTTATGGGGGTTCTGTCCTCATGACCTTATCACCTCCCCAAATGTCCCACCTCCTCATACCATCCCCTTGTGAAGTTGTCTTAGTCCATGTTTGCATTGCTAACAGGAATATCTGAGCCTGGGTTCAGGGCCAGCAGAAGGCGTAGCAGTTACGTTGCTGGACTCCCACATGGCTGACTGAGGTTCAAGTCCTGGACCCGGTGGCTTAAAACTCGTGCCAGGTGTGTGTGTGCATGCGCCTGGGTTCTTTTATAAATAAAATAGAAGTTTATTTACAAAAATCATGATTCTAATGGCTGGAAAGCCTGCAGCATGGCCAGTGAAAGTGCAGAGGAGGGTGAGCACAAATATGTAGAATGCCCCTCACTCATCTCTCTTACAACGACCAGCGCGGGTAAGAACAGGCCCCTTCTCAAGAGTGCCAGAACTGATTGGGCACCATCGCCGTGAACCGATGGCTTCCCGCTGGCGTCACCCTGGGACATCACAAGGAACCGAGTTTTTCCTTAATACCTTTACAACACGGTCAGCAGAGTCAAGGTTCAGCATGTGAATTTCGGGGGACGGATGCAGATTGTGGCAGCATGAGATTTCCAACTTGGCGCCTTGCAGGGACATGAGCGTTGAGACCACAGCAAAAGGGTCTTGACCTTGTGCCTCTGTGTGCTGAGGACTGTTGCTCTCCTTCCCTTTTGAAAACTGGTGGCTAAACAGGCGAGAGTTTGGGTTGTCGTCTGACCCAGGGAGGCTGTCGTTGCAGGTGAAGATTTAAATGCCGGTTCTCAACTTCGGAACTTTGCAGGCAGACAGGCATAGCTTTAGATCCCTACACCCTCTAACTGGCCAAGTGACGGGAGGCAGTCGGGCCTTTGTGAGCCTCAGTTCCCCCCTTCCTGCCTCCATGGGTTCCTGTGAACTTAAATGCAGGACACAGCAGGTGCTGCCTGGTGGTCGCCGATTCTCGATTCTTGATTCTCGTGGTTACATCAAAGAGGAGAGGGTCTGTGCCCGGGAGCCCACCCGGCCAGACTCTTCTAGCTCACACCAGCGGCTGGAAGAGC